AAAAGTGATTTTGATGAACAAAAAAAGTGATTTTGATGAGTGAAAAGTGATTTTGACGATCGAAAAGTAATTTTGACGAGCAAAAAAAGTGATTTTGACGAGTAAAAAAAGTGATTTTGATGAGTGAAAAGTGATTTTGACGAGCAAAAAAAGTGATTTTGACGAGTGAAAAATGATTTTGAAGAGCAAAAAAAATGAAAAAAAGTGATTTTGACGAGTGAAAAGTGATTTTGATGAGCAAAAAAAGTGATTTTGATGAGCAAAAAAAAAAGAAAAAAAAGTGATTTTGACGAGCAAAAAAAATGAAAAAAGTGATTTTGACGAGCGAAAAGTGATTTTGATGAGTAAAAAGTGATTTTGACAAGTGAAAAGTGATTTTGATGAGCAAAAAAAGTGATTTTGACAAAGAAAAAAAGTGATTTTGACGAGCAAATAAAGTGATTTTGACGAGCAAAAAAAGTGATTTTGACGACTGAAAAAAGTGATTTTGATGAGTGAAACGTGATTTTGACGAGCAAAAAAAGTGAAAAAAAGTGATTTTGACGAGCGAAAAGTGATTTTGATGAGTAAAAAGTGATTTTGACGAGCAAAAAAAGTGATTTTGACGAGTGAAAAGTGATTTTGATAGGTAAGAAGTGATTTTGACGAGCAAAAAAAGTGATTTTGACGAGCGGAAAAAGTGATTTTGACGAGTGAAAAGTGATTTTGACGAGCAAAAAAAGTGATTTTGACAAGCGGAAAATGATTTTGAAGAGCAAAAAAAATGAAAAAAAGTGATTTTGACGAGCGAAAAGTGATTTTGATTAGCAAAAAAAGTGATTTTGACGAGCGAAAAGTGATTTTGACGAGAGAAAAGTGATTTTGATTAGCAAAAAAAGTGATTTTGATGAGTGAAAAAAGTTTTTTGACGAGCGAAAAGTGATTTTGACGAGCAAAAAAAGTGATTTTGACGAGTGAAAAGTGATTTTGACGAGCAAAAAAAGTGATTTTGACAAGCGGAAAATGATTTTGAAGAGCAAAAAAAATGAAAAAAAGTGATTTTGACGAGCGAAAAGTGATTTTGATTAGCAAAAAAAGTGATTTTGACGAGCGAAAAGTGATTTTGATTAGCAAAAAAAGTGATTTTGACGAGCGAAAAGTGATTTTGATTAGCAAAAAAAGTGATTTTGACGAGCGAAAAGTGATTTTGATTAGCAAAAAAAGTGATTTTGACGAGCGAAAAGTGATTTTGATTAGCAAAAAAAGTGATTTTGACGAGCGAAAAGTGATTTTGATTAGCAAAAAAAGTGATTTTGACGAGCGAAAAGTGATTTTGACGAGCAAAAAAAGTGATTTTGACGAGTGAAAAAAAGGGATTTTGACCAGCGAAAAGTGATTTAGATGAGCAAAAAAAAGGGATTCTGACGAGTGAAAAAAGTGCTTTTTGACGAGCGAAACGTGATTTCGACGAGTGGGGAAAAAAGATTTCTTGATGAGAGAAGGTGTTTTCCTGGTGTAGTGATGCACAGATGGACGTGACATTCAGTGCGTTTCTGTAAATAGTCTGGAGTTGGTGCAGAAAGCTTCATTGCATTTGCTGTTATCCAGGATTCTGTCTGGAATATGGCTGTACTTAAATCTGCTTCAAGACAGAAAAAGTTCAAAAAGTTTACAGAGACAAATGTACATGTTGTTAAAAATTTTAATTGGGGGGAAAAAAGAAAAGCTCAGACATATTAAAGACAGACTGCTGTAAACCGTAACACATTCGCTCAGTAATGTAAACAAACACAGCACATTGTCGTCTGCAGATCTGCGCTCATCTCAGGAAGCTCCAAACACGCATCACACATGAAGCGTTTCTTTCTCTGATGAAGCTCTTTAATGGATCCTGAACTTCTGGGAGTGGTAGATAGCAGCTCCCAAAGCCCAGCTGGTCTCCACGTTCCTCACCTTCTTAGTCAGCTGGAAACACAAGCAGCAGGGTTAACTAGTTAACACTAGTTACAGCAGGTTAAAGACAGAGAAACCCAGACGTACCTGCAGGACGGTGCTTTCCTTAAAGCCGAAGCCGTCTTTGAGCAGACAGACGATGTATGTGAGATCCATGCAGAGGAAGGGATTGAGCTGAGTGCGTTCAGACGGACGGTTACACACTACAACACACACACACACACACACGAGAGCTCATGTTGGGTTTGTGTGATCATCACATACAAGCATGTGAGATGAGAAGATGAAGGTGAAGATGAGTCTCACCCTCTTTGGCTCTTTTCTTGAAGTCTCGGATCTTCACGGCTCCTCCTCTGCTCTCATCTGCAGCGTTTAAGAGATTCATTCTCAACTACTGCTTAAAGTAAGAGTTCAGTCACAAACTAACATGCTTTCTGCTCAGGGCTTCTGCAGTTTAACAAGACTTTTTAAGACCAAAAATGTAAGGAATAAATTGAAGGGAAAACAACGAAACAACCTTTACTGTAAAAAGGTGCAATATTTTTGTCTTGTTTTTCAGTGCCAATGTCTTAAAATTCTTCAGTCAGGAGATACGAAGTCTTGTTTTCTGAGAAACTGATCGAAATTAAGTGAGTTTACGATTAAAACAAGAACAAATATCTGCTAGTGGAGTCAGAAAAATGTACTTAATTTAATAATAAAGAAAAAAAAATCAATTCCCCATTGACATATTTATGTGTTTCATCTCCTGGTAGTCAAAATTGACCAATTGTTTTTTATTTCAACGAAAAGAATGTACCGTATTTTAATTTGATAAGATTTTTTAAATTAACATTTTATGGTACTAAATTTTATTTATGCAATACCTATGATCTATTTATGACCTGTTAACCACTTTTAAGCATTGACCTGAAAATTACATTTCCAACTTGAATGGTCATAAATCTTGAATGTTTTGGAGACTTAAGTTTGGTCTCTTTTTAAAGAAGACACTTTAGAAGAAGATTATTGCTGAAGCGAAAAAAAAAATTCAAAAAAGTACTATTTTAATTTATTTGAAATTTTATATGAAATAAGTATTTTCCAAAAAATGTTTAATTCTAAATCTGCATGAAAATCAAGTTGTGTTCCAAATTTGAGGTTGATATCACAAAAAGAAAGAGCTGTCGGTCAGGTTTTGTTTGGGTCCACTTGTGGTCATTTTCCACCATCAACAATACACGTGTGACCATTAAACCTTTTTGAATCGTGTCCATGATTTATTTATTTTTTTGTTTACATGACAAGTGGCAAAAAATTTGACCAAGTCTCGTACTATTCAGGTGAAGTAAAAAATGTGAGGAAAAAAAAAATGTAGTATAAACTCACTTTATTTTGATCAATTTCTCAGGAAAAAATACTTCTTATGTTCATTCTGCATCTGCAGTAAATGTGTCTTGATTTAAGGATGTTTAGATATCTGTACTGGAAAACAAGACAGAAACACCGAGGAAGAGATTCACTTTCGCAGTGTGTGCAACATTGAATGGCGTGTTTCACGCCGGTGTTTGTGGTGTCTCACCGATGAGTCCGGCCTCCACGGCGTGATCGAAGTAATACGAGAAGGCGTAGAAGGTGCTGCTGTCCTTCAGCTCGTGAGGCTGTTTAATGATGCCCTTCAGCACCTTCAGCAGCTCCTGAGAACACGCTTTAAAGCCCGTCACACCTGAGCATCAGACACAGCAAACACTATTTCACAGCTCAATTCACATCGAATTTGCAACAAATAAACATTAATTCAAGACTTATAATTCAGAATTTTTTTTGCATTATTTTAATGACAAACACTATCAATTCACATCGAATTTGCAACAAATAAACATTAATTCAAGACTTATCTTCACAGCTCAATTCACATCGAATTTGCAACAAATAAACATTAATTCAAGACTTATAATTCAGAAATTTTTTTGCATTATTTTAATGACAAACACATTTTCTTCCCAGATTAAAATCATTTTCTTTAATTAATTAAAACTGACATAAAAATAAAACAAAAATTACTTAAGTATTATTTACTTACTATTAAAGTATTTTTTTTTTTTTAATTAGTTTTCATTTTTATATTTATTTGCAATTTTAGTAATTTCGTTATACGCTTTTGTCATTTTCTTATTTAGTTTTTAGTATTTCTGTTTATTTTTATTTCATTTATTTGCCAAGGCAACATTTACGATTATCATGTAATATGTTTTTATAAATGAAATAAATATAAATACAATTTATATACTTTACTACTTTTATACTACATTTATATTTTATTTTATAGAAATAATTTCTGAAATAAAATTTCATTAAAATTTAAATTACATTTTTTATTCATTTTTCTTATTTTGTTTTTAGCATTTCTATTTTTATTTCATTTACTTGCTAATTCATAGTTTTTCATGTAATATTTGTTATAAATAAAATAGAAATACAATTTAAATATTTTACTACTATTTTACTATTATTTATAATATTTAAATTATTTAATTATTTTAATTATTTATAAAAATAAATGATTATAAATATAAAATAAAATATAAATATAACACGTAAAACCTGACAAATCAAAATTTTAAACTCACAATATTAGTAAATGCTACAATAGTACACAAATAATACAAGTAACACTATTTCCAACTTGTAAAACCCCACTGTATCACTGAGATGCATGCAGATGTTTTGTCAGTAATTCTCAGGATTCTCATTAGTTTCTTTTTACTGTAGTACAGTGATTCTTTTACTCTATTGGTGAAAAATATCTGTAACATATTAATTCAGTCTAATACCAATATGATGAATAGATACTTTTTTAAAATGTAAATAATATATTTCACATTTCAATAACATGAATTTTAGGTAAATGTTAATCATCATCATAATGCAAACAATCTTTATGGTCGTATGAACAGGTTTAATTGTGTTTTACCGTCGGTGACTCCGCTGACGTGATAACTGAATCCTCCGAAGCTGAATTCACCGGTGTATTTTTTGGGCAAACAGGAGCTTTGGAAAACTTTCTTTTCCAGACCTGCAGCACAAACACACACACACACACGTGAGTGTTTGGTACCCTCTGAACCCAGCGCTCCCAGAGCTGACAGACGTGCCGCTTTGATTCCGTTTCCAAGGTAACTGTGAAGAAGAGCACATGTTTAGAGCGGGAAACACCACATTCCTGCAGCAGCATCATCATCATGGTTACCTGTGTGTGTAGAGCTCATAAGTGCTGCTGAACATGTCGAACCTCACCATGTAATCCGCTGGAGCGCTCTCAACCGTTTTCTGTCAAATACAACAAACTTACCACAGTACTGTGTGGTTGCTAAGGTGCTCTGAGTGGTTGCTAGGTGGCCCAAAACACTAGTTTCTAGTAACAAATGTAAAGATACAATACCCGAGTATTAAATATTTGCAAAGGAAGTCTCTTCTGCACACCGAGGCTGCATTTATTTGACTACAGTAAAAATTGTGAAATATTATTACAATTTAAAACAGCTGTTTTCTATGTGAATATCTGTTAAACTGTAATGTATTTCTGTGATGCGCAGCTGTATTTTCAGCATCATTACTCCAGTCTTCAGTATGCATTTTATTTTTCAGGATTCACAGATGAACAGAAAGTTCAAAAGAACAGCATTTATTTGAAATAGAAATGTTCTGTAACATTATAAACATCTTTACTGACACTTTTCATCAATTGAATGCATCCTTGATGAATAAAAGCATTCATTTCTTTTAATTGTTAAATTTTCAAATGGTAATATATCACAGTTTCCACAAAAATATTGTGCAGCACAACTGTTTTCAACATTGATAATAATCAGAAATGTTTCTTGAGCAGCAAATCAGCATATTAGAATGATTTCTGAAGATCATGTGACACTGAAGACTGGAGTAATGATGCTGAAAATACAGCTGCGCATCACAGAAATACATTACAGTTTAACACATATTCACATAGAAAACAGTTATTTTAAATTGTAATAATATATCACAATTTTTACAGTATTTTTGATCAAATAAATGCAGCCTCGGTGAGCAGAAGAGACTTCTTTCAGAAAAACAGCGTAATTATTCCCAGTGTATATTATAATCCGCTGCTGGTCAGTAGGTATGGTTTCGGTCAGAACCAGAGCTCACTGACCCTTGATTTGGGCAGAAAGGTGATTTGTGTGGATCCTCCGCCCAGATCCAGGATTCCTACCGTCTTCTGTGTGTTTCTGTGCAGTCGACCTGAAAACAGAATTCAAGATCTCGTCTGAGAAGACCTACAATTATTAACCTTCTGAAGGACAAAAACAAGAGCATCTGAGGTGTCTGACGTCTGATAGAAATCAACACAACGTGCTTTCAGAATACAAGTTATTAATGTCTTATAATGTTATTCTAAAGAACATGATGGGTTTAAACTCACTGACATCATGTTTATAAGCTCAAATCCAGCATTATTTATTAAGCTCACAGTAGAAAGTCTCACCTGTCAGGAAGTTGACTGTGACCCAGGCCAGAATCCCTGTGAAGAGACATATATTACAGTCATTTAACCTCAATGCATGACGTTTAATAAAGGACTCATCAAATTATAATTAGTCCAATATATTTTGATATTTAATTCAGCATAAATTTGCAAATACTACCATGATGCACAAACATTTTACCATTTAAAAACAAATAATTCTCACATTAAAATAATTACAATCCGATTATTTTGTGTATATGTGTCCAATGATAGTAAACAGTCATTAGGTCCGTCAGACTGAAGATATTTTAGCGGTAATGTGACCAAAAATATGTAAGACCCACCGAATCTGAATTTAAGGCATTTTAAGACTTTTTAAGGACACCCTGTGGATCACTAAAGTTATTTCAAACACTCGACTGATGCTGTGGAGTAAAAACATGTTCAAATGTTCTCTTTGCGGACAGACCTTCATTCGTGCCGTTCATGATACTGACGCTATCAGCAGGCACGTAAAACGGAGATTCATCGAAGACGTCTTGCACCTGCAGACAAACACACACGACAGTGTTGAGACTGAAAATACCACGGTAAAAACACGGTAGTAGTGCACGGGATCAAACAGCACTCAGGCTGGAGGTGAAGCAGCTTCTCTAGTGTCTGAGTAAAACCCTGAAGTGTGAAACTCTTGACTGGTTCATGTGTTCATACTGCAGTCGTATTTATCCCTCTGCTGCTCTTCAGTCTGCTTTGGGGGTTTTTAGAATTTTTTCTCCATCGGAAACGTACGGAACTTGCCATGTAAACAAACAAAAGGGTGAAATGTGACCCTGCAGCACAAAAGCAGTGTTAAGTCACTGGGGTATATTTGTAGCAATAGCCAACAATACATTGTATGGGTCAAAATTATACATTTTTCTTTTATGCCAAAAATCATTAGGATATTAAGTAAAGATCATGTTCCATTAATATATTTTGTACATTTCCTACTGTAAATATATCAAAACTTAATTTTTGATTAGTAATATGCATTGCTAAGAACTTCATTTGAACAACTTTAAAGATGATTTTCTCAATATTTAGATTTTTTTGCACCCTCAGATTCCAGATTTTCAAATAGTTGTATCTCGACCAAATATTGTCCTATCCTAACAAACCATACATCAATGGAAAGATTATTATTCAGCTTTCAGATGATGCATAAATCTCAATTTCACAAAACTGACCCTCATGCTCCAGAGTCACAAATGGTCCTGAAAAATAGTCACACTTGTACTTTTCACAATAAAAAATTACCACACTGGAAACAAATACCATCTAGCGGAAACATTTGGTACTGCGCTCAAACAAAATCTTGCTGAAAGCTCATTTTTTGTGATATCAACCTTAATTTGTTTTAAACGCGTTTTGGGAAGTTATTTCATACAAAATTTGGAAACAGTATTTTTCATAACAATAAACTTCTGCAACTTTTTTAATTTCTTTTTTTTTCTGGTCAATAGGCAATAAATTGATAATAACTACTGTATAAATATTATGTAGTGCCATAAAACCCCCTAAAAATACAAAATATTAAATAAAAAAAACATTATCAAACTAAAACACAGTACATTAATTTTATTGTAACCAATAAACTGGTTGTTTCTGTCCGCCGCGCGAGCATGCTGTACCTCCTCCAGAAGCGCGTGAGCTTTAGCCGGCGGCAGCAGCCTCAGTCCAGCCGTGGCTCTGAACAGCACCGGCGTTCTCTTCCACTCCACCGGAGGAACCGTCTTCTTCGCCACACGCAGCAGCTGACGCACCGTATGACCGGCCTGAGAGCAGAAACAACAGCGCTGACTGCACAAACGCACGCTTACAGCACGTCTGCAGATCACTCATAAGCCCCTAATAACTCACAATCTCAGGGATGTCTGCGAACGCAGAGAGACCGGGCTTCATCGAGTGGAACATCTCATTATCCAGCACCGGCAGTCCGTCTGAGGACAGAACAACAGACGTCAGAAAACAGTCTAGTGATTCTCATTACTGGAATTACTGTAACTATTACTGTAACATATTTTATTTAAATCAGCATCAATTTGCAGGACAATAAACACTTTTATGTGTGTGTGTGTGTGTGTATATATACATATATATATATATATATATATATACATACGGTATATATACATATACATATAAATACATACATATATATATACATAGATACATACATACACACATATATATATACTGTATATGCAGTAGTCAACATTTGAAGTGGATCAAAAAATGTTCATCAAAGACAAGCACAGGTATTGTTTTTGTTTTACAACTTTGATGAAAGGTTTTGATCCACTTCAAATGTTGACTGCTATATAATACGATAAATATCTTATTAAAGTCATTAGAATCAGATTATTTTGCATTACAGTAATGAAATTTAGAGAGAACATGTGGATGTAAAAATCTTAAAAACGTAATTTTATTTATAGGAAAATAACTTGATATTTTTTCTTTGGATTATAATTAATGCAGTACTTTTCTTTTTTTATCTACATAAAAATGTTATCTACATAATCTACATCTACATAAATTGCAGTTCAACAAATACTACTAGTAGTAGTAGTATATATTTATTTAATGCCATGTCAGCATCTTAGGCTATTTTCAATAAAACAAATACAATAAAAACCAGCAAACAAACAAACTCTTGATTTTTTACATTAACATATGATAAAAATTCTACAACTTTTTCTGGCAAAATTACACTAATAACTCTTTAAGTGAGTTCACTTCAGAAAAGAGTTTTCTACATACATTAAAAGCGGGACAGTCCAACAAATACTACTATGATGTATAAATATTTTTCAATTTAAAAACAAATAATTTTCACATTGAAGTCATTAGAATCAGATTATTTTTCATTACAGTAAACCGATTTAGAGAGAAATGTGCCTAATTATCACAAAAATATTTATGATCCTAAAAAGGCTCTTTTTCATGTAAAATAATATTATATTTTTAATAGGATTGTAATTAGAGAAATATACTTTTGACTTAAATCAGCATAGATTTGCCATAAAATAAATACAGCAATGATGTATAAGTATTTTACAAATTAAATCAAAAATAATTCTCACATTAAAGTAATTTAAATCAGATTATTTTGCATTACAGTAACGAGATTTACAGAGAAAGTGTGTTAATTTTTTATAAATATTTTATAAATATATTTTAGAAATAATTCCTAAACAGGCCTAATTTTATTTATGTTAAAATATTTATAGTAAATAGTTTTCTTTTATTTTGATATATAATATTGTTATATTTTGAATTAGTAATATTTTGAATTAGTTTCATTTTTTTAATTTTCCAATTTCATTTTAATTTTAGTAATTTTGTTGTGTTTTGTCACATTTTGTTTTTAAATAACTCTATATAGTTTTTTATTTAATTTGTATTTCAGCTTTAGTTTTAGTTATAGATATTTTAGTGCATCATATTAAAGAAAATAAGAAGAAATGTTTCCTTGTCAATTAGCTGAAATAAAATAAAATAAATGCTTTTAATATTTTATTTCAGTTAACAAAGATATTTGAATGGTTTTAATTAAATACAATAACCCTGCAGTGTTTTAGTTAGTTATGAATACATCTTATTTCTGAAGTTACTACATAACTACAAATCTGCCTTTTACTGTATGACTGGTTATATTTCAGTGGGTTCAGACCATGTGATGGGTTTCAATCCCTCAATGCCCTGCTGTCTATGTAGTGAGGGTCAGATCTCACCCGGCTCTTTCTGGATGAAGGTGTAGACGTGGATGCGTGTGCCGGTGCTGCCCGCGTCAAACATGATGCTGTAGAAGATCCTGCTGGCGTTGGCCGGGCGACTGAGGGACGGCAGGGCGTTTCCAAACCTCTCGGAGAAATCCACAGCATTCAGACCGTTCCTCTGAGAGGAAGACGCCACTGCGAGAAGCGTCCAGACGGCCAGAAGATACCAAACACAGAGCGACGCAGACATCCTTAGACTGAAGACAGAGCAGAGCAGACGTGGTTTATATACCACAGACACTCCCATCAACCAGCCATATCAGCAAAACATCATAATTAGGCTTCAAGCATCCTTCGGGACTAATTTGGGCAAAATTATTATCATTATTTTAAATAGTTTCCTTAATCTGAGCGGTACAAAACTTGCCTACTATTCCTAAATTTGCCATTTGAACACACACACACACACAAAAACTGACTCGATTCTACAAAGTTAGGTGGTTGAAAAAACTCCTTAATTTGTCCTTCGTGGACAAAAGTGGGCACCCATTGGAAATGAATGGGAAATACTCAAATTGAGAGCATTTTTTTTATTTGTCCAATAAAAATCAATAAATCCAACACAACACAGATCATACATACACATAAATGAAAGGGTGAGCATATACAACACTGTCAATGTGGCAAACACTTACGCTCACACACACACTTTCACTCACACGCACTATACACACTCACACAAACACACACACTTACACTATACACACTCACTCACACACACACACACACAAACACACACTCACTCACACGCACACACACTTACACTATACACACTCTCACCCGCACACACACACACACACACACTCACTCACACGCACACGCACACACACACACACACACACTCACTCACACGCACACGCACACACACACACACACACACTCACTCACACGCACACGCACACACACACACACACACACTCACTCACACGCACACGCACACACACACACACACACACTCACTCACACGCACACGCACACACACACACACACACACTCACACACTATACACACACACACTATACATACACACACACACACACACACACTATACACACACTCACTCACACACAAACAAACACACACTCACTCACACGCACACGCACACACACTTACACTATACACTATACACACTCCCACCCGCGCGCGCACACACACACTCACTCACACACTATACATTACACACACTCACTCACACACAAACAAACGCACACACTCACACACTCATACCCACACTCACACACTATACATTACACACACTCACTCACACGCACACGCACACACACACGCACACACACACGCACACACACACGCACACACACACGCACACACACACGCACACACACACGCACACACACACGCACACACACACGCACACACACACGCACACACACACGCACACACACACGCACACACACACGCACACACACACGCACACACACACGCACACACACACGCACACACACACGCACACACACACGCACACACACACGCACACACACACGCACACACACACGCACACACACACGCACACACACACGCACACACACACGCACACACACACGCACACACACACGCACACACACACGCACACACACACGCACACACACACGCACACACACACGCACACACACACGCACACACACACGCACACACACACGCACACACACACGCACACACACACGCACACACACACGCACACACACACGCACACACACACGCACACACACACGCACACACACACGCACACACACACGCACACACACACGCACACACACACGCACACACACACGCACACACACACGCACACACACACGCACACACACACGCACACACACACGCACACACACACGCACACACACACGCACACACACACGCACACACACACGCACACACACACGCACACACACACGCACACACACACGCACACACACACGCACACACACACGCACACACACACACACACTCACACACTATACATTACACACACTCACTCACACACAAACAAACGCACACACTCACACACTCATACACACACTCACACACTATACACACTGTCACGTGCACACACACATAGACACACACACACATACACTCACTCACACACTATACACACACACGCACACACACACACACACTCACACACTATACACACACACACACAATCACTCACACACAAACAAACAAACAAACAAACACACACACACACACACACACACACACTCATCTCTCACCAGCTCGGATCCGCGAGAGTCAGCAGAGCTGCAGCCCGATCCTGCGGCTTCTCCGGCGGCTTCGAGGCGCGAGATCAACCGCGACGCCGCCTCAGCACATTCACCTGCTGAGCGCTCACATTCTACACGCTTCTCGCAGTAAAACACGTCTAATCTGTGACTTTAAACTTTATGTCGACATGTTTTTGCAGTCAAACACTTCTAATCTGAGGTAACTTACTTTATGTCGGTTTGTTGTTGTTTGTTAACGTACCTGCTAACCGCTCGCTAACTCGCTGAAGTTACACACAAACTTTAACGTTGGTTCAGTTCAACGCGAGTAAGCATAGATGGTTCGAATATAAGTCGGTTTATGAATCCTGAGCGTTTATTCCGTGTATACGTGCCGAGTTATGATTTATTGATTGATGGTAAAAGAGCCGGTGTTTGACAGCAGCAAACTTGCGTTTGATTGACAGCGGCAGATGGTGACGCAGGCAGAGTGTGGGCGGGGCCAGAGTATCACCGCACAGAAACACGAGACCAGAGCCATAGAAAGAGAGAGTTGCGTCAACGGAAGTCCAAAACGCTCGATCGTCACGTGATTGACGTAGACCTCAAATAGTTCCAGGAAGTTCATAGCGGGCAATTGAAATACCACACACACACACACACACAGACACACTTACACACACTTCAAAGTCCTACTGCCAGATTTGTTGATGTTTTTTAAGAAATAAATGATTACTCTGTCTCCTACTTTGTCTTTTCCTTATAGCATGGTCAGATTTGTCTGTAAGCATATTTTGGCATCTTTGTATAGTCTCACCCAAAACAAATGTTTTTTTTAATTCTACAGTTTTAACTTGTAATAAAATCTAAAACGTAAGAGGTTAAGTTTGTTACAACAATGGTTTTAGATGTCAGCCTATATGCAGCCATTGAGTATTACAGCCATATAGGGGCTATTGATATTTTTGATATTATTATTGCCATCATATGTCACCAACATTTTAGGTTTTGGCTGTCTGAACTTACCGATTTTTTTTTTTACTTAAGTAAAAGAAATATTAAATATAACATAAAAATCAGCATATTTTACATAAAATATGGTACTCTTAGAGGTAAATAAATAAATAAAAATACCAAAAAAATTGCATAAATTGATGTTTTTATTTTATTGAAGATAGTGATATGACATCTATTTAAAAAAAAAAAAACTAGGATCAGACCTTCGAGCCCAAATTTGTCCAAGAAGGACAAATTAAGGGCTGCTATACGAAGGATGCTTGAGGGTTAAGCTGACATTAATGACAGGACGTGTGAGTGTCATGACCCTCGAGTAAACCCTTCCCTAAACAGTACATTACAGTAAACCATCCATCTCGCTTGAGTTATGCAATATTTCCATGATGATTAACATTGCTTTGAGTGCAGCATTGACTGTGAGCATATAAATGTAATTAGTGGTATTTGTTAAATCAAGCATCATAACTACTGCTTATTAATATATAAAAATATATTTGTAGTATATTCCAATTTAAAACAATTTAAAATATTTTTACACATTTAATCATATATTTTATGTATGTTGTCTTCGTAAGAGGCTGGATATAATCAGCTAATCTATAGATTACACCAACAAAATGTGATGGAATCATACTAGGGAACTGGCACTTTTTCACAAAGACACAAAGAGCAGGGAAAGACTTGCCAAAACCAGTGAAGAGACTCATTGTGAGGTTGATGTCTCTTTACAGGGAGT